CCCCCTAACTATGCTAGATTACGGCAATGGCTGAAGTGGACTCTGTCGATTATTTCCGATTTAGGAGAGTCATTTGTAGGATCTCTGTCTTCCGATGACTGATGGCAGGGACGGCGTTTTTCATCGGCGAATCTCTGTCATAACGAGTGGGGCATTTGGCTTTCGCGATTATGCATCGCGTAATTGGACCGTTGGGGTCCAGATCGAGCTTCACTATTACAGGCTCATCTCCAATATGATTAGGCCCCGTAGACATGCACAACGCGCATGTAGCTCTGTGGAGAGGAAAAGAAACGGAAGGCCTGCCGATCTCGAGGCCTCTCCCCTTCGGGGGGGGGGGGGGGGGGGGGAGGTTTCCAGTATAGCGTTTGACCTGGTTGGTCTACTCGGTGCTGGTGATTTTTCCGTGGGAAACTTGATTCTCACATTCCCTCGTGGCTTGCACTTGGGACTTTCTTCGGGGCAATATCGCTCATCGAGTGGGTGTAAATGGCAATAAGGTTAGGGGATTCGAGAAGATCCCTGGTTTAAGATTACCGTGAAGTGGAGCCCCACGTTCAGAAGCAAATGCCACCGAGGTGCCTCAGCTCCCCGATTTGTTTTCACTATTCTCAGGGTCTCTGGCTTGGCAGGTCCCTGGATTTTGATAGGGTCATAGAGAACCCTGTCATATCTTGCCTCTCGATGGAGGGGTGGCGATGCCGATTGAAGCTTCTCCCGATTACTGCCGTGGGTAAGTAACTTAACGGCAAATGGTGATTGGTATCGGCCAACCGAGGCCAAGCTTGGTTGTGAATGGCAAGTAGTCGACATGGTCCTTTCGACCTTCCATTTTTATCATTGCCACCGTCCAATTTACAACTTTGTGTCAAGCTAGAGAAGGCAGCGAAAATAAAGTCCCATGCAGATATTGTTCTGCCTGATCATGATAAACTTTACGTGTGGCGGTAAAGGGGTAAAAAGAGCGAATTGCACTTCATACCGTTGATTCCCAAGGATCGTCGCGTGTCCTCCACAAGAAAACAGGAAAAAAGAAGTTTGAGACAAAAACGAATAGAAAAGAAAAGAAAGAAGGAAAAAAAAAGCAATAGCAATAGCAAAGAAGAGTCGATGGAAATTACGAAGGGCTGAGAGGTATTGAGACGGTGAGGCAGAGAAGAGAGTTCTTTCACAATTAATTTGCGTACTTCACTGTACGTAAAGCTACAAGCTTATTCCATTATGACGCTGTGCCCCAGGGGGATGGTCCTCATGTTGTTTTTTCTCTCTTGCTGCGGCGACCGCGAACCAGGCCCTGAATACCGCATCGCCCCTAGAGTCTATCAAGCGCTAGATCAATGCCTGTGCTAGTAACTAGTCTCGGGGGACTAGGGACCCAATCTGAGTGTAAAGAGATTTCTCTTTGGACATTCTACCAAAAATCCTCTTGTTCGACGTAGCTACGGGATGTCGAGGATGATTTGTCCCTTTACTACGCGTAATTTAGGTTTGTCTTTATTTACAAAATTCAAAACCAGGGTGGTCCAGCCCTTAGATGGGGGGGGGGTTTACTAGCAAGAGTGGAGTTGAAAGTTCTACTTAATTACACTTGATCGCCGAAGGAACAGCCCCAACCTTAAGGAAATGACTCGGGAGGCTTCTCGTGAAATCTACTCGGGACTCGGCATTGCTAGTTAGAAGAGAGGGGGGGGGGGGGGGGGGGGGGGGGGGAAGGGAAAAGAAATGCGAGTTCCACTCGGGATACGGAATTATTGGGGAAAATCTACGCAGTACTTTGTAGGAACATCCCAAGACTAGTCACTCCACAGGCATTGAATGGATCCACCAGGTATCTCCGTGTGGGATAGTGTGGGATGCAGTTAGAAAGGAAAGAAAGCCGCGTAATGAGAACAGCATCCCTTGCTGGACAGAGTATCCCGCACTCATATTGATATTGCGATCTCTAGTCACGATCCGTGATTGGAGCGTTGGGGACAATCTTCGTGCTTCTCTTTTGCGGGGACACCGGAGTTTTAACGGTGAAAATGTCATCTGGATTCCTGTCCTGGACCCTCTTTTGTTCCTGTAGGTAGAGGAAGGAGCCGGATCGCATAGGAAAATCAAGTAGTCTATCTGCACTCTAGCCGCTAACTCTGTTTCATCACCTACACTTGGGGGTGTTGTTTTGTTGAGACGATCGTCCGTTAGCGTGGGTGGCCTCCACCTCCACCTCCTCTCTTTTCTCTCTTTCTCTCCTCTTAACTGCCTCTTGGGGTTGTCTAGGCTCGACTGGAGTAGCTAAATGGGGCTAAGAATACGGAGTAGCTCGGCCATGAATGGTACTCCTTAGATATTGCCGTGGCTTGACTCTGGCCGTTTTGCTTGCGTGAGAGGGTTTGGATTGGCTGATTTTCTGACTACTACAATACATATGTAGGAGAAAGGATTGGGCGATGATATCATGAAAGAGAGAGATACGGAGAATAGTACTTTAGAGAAAGGGACTGTAGCACGACAGTAGGCCTCCCACATGTACCCCGAAACTTGTACATTGTGTAGTTCACATGTACTTAATGATTAACCCTCCGGAATTGAACTGGGGTGACCTAGGGCGAACTGGCTAACTCTTGTCTTCATTTTCTTCTTTTAATCTTTACTTTTTTTAAACTTCTCTTCCACTTTTCTTCTTCTTTTCTTTTTTCACTTTTGACTTTAGATATATTCCTTTTCTCTCTCTCTCTCTCTCTTCCTACCCCTTATTCCCCCTGGAATCTGGGGAGTAGAGAATCAAGTCCGAAGATCCAGACCTGTCGAGGTTTCCTCACCGAACAAGCAACGAGAGGTGCACCTCCCGCGTGGAGAGCTCCAGCGGCCCCCAGATTTTGTTCGTCCAGCGATTGAGCGAAGGATCCGAAGGGTCGGAATTGCGTATGGTCAGGGCGCAGTTTCAGATCCCCCATCCAAGTCACTCTAACTTTATTTTTCCTGGTAACATAACACTGGACTTTGTCATCATAATCGTGATTAATACTGGAAGTAATTCAGTGTTATTAAGGATAAAAATGCCTTCTGAGATGGGAGCAACTTCGGATCATATTTAATATATTCTAATCATTCGTTAGAGTCATGGTTTCTTATTCAAGTAGGTATATACGAAGCCCCCCATGTTTAATGGGGAGAGTCCCCGTCTTGATGGGAAAAAGTGACTGACTTAGTAATAAAATCACGGATCCACTCAGCTCAGAGTCCACCTCGTATCCCCACGCACCATACCCGGTTCAGTCTAGTAAAGTATGGCATCCAGTCGCTGGTTTAGACAGTCTGGAACCGGGATGTAAGTTGGCGCCCCTCTTCCAAGACTAAGGAACGGTAGGTCCGTACCGCCAGCATTGACTGGGCCTAGTGGCCCTGGTCGTGGCCGATGGGAATGTGGGGTTCGACTCTCTAGAGATGTTGAGGCAATCGTAATTTCGTAGTTTAACAGCGAGGTTCAGTTGCTAATTTAACTTGGGTCTGTTAATGCTTGTTTTCGTGATAATACTAGGCTGGGAGATAGCTAGGTTTGCGAAGGGGGGATTGTGGTAAAATAGGATGTCTAACATTACTCTATGTATGTATGAAAAGGCCAAAGGTTGATAACTCAGTGTATCTATTCTACAGCTCGTCCCTGGTCCATTCAAAAGGTGCCTTGGATTTCCTTCGATATGTAATCCGTTGATTTGGACCCCCTTTTCCCCTTTGGGGTCTTCCAATGAGAAAGGTGCATATCCTTGACATGCCAAGCGGCCGATGTAATCCTCCCGTACGGTGGATACCTGGGAAGACGGTCGTACCCGGTCTGTACGGTTGGTAATCTTACGAGTTCAATACCCCTCAATGTACTTGACTGTACCAAGACATACGAAGATGTTCTCGATAGTGGGTGCATTGGGTAGAGAGATATCGTAGTGAATATGATGTATACGAGTATACCAATGTACTTGATGTGTCTAGCAAGTTCATTCTTTGGAAGACTACCGAATATTTCCAGTGTAGACAGTCTGTATTGAACAGCCTATTCCTACTGGATGCCTCTCTGGATGATGTGCGTGGCTACTGGTAAATTAATCGCGCCTCGTATGGAGGATTTAGTAGAGTATCTCGACATAACAACGGTGAAATTAGAAATCATCCTATGATGGATACTGGAAGTTTTTTGTTTAATATATCGATAGTTCTATGATTATTGTTATTATTATTATTATCATCATGAGAGACTGAAATTAAACCAGGATCCCAGATCCAAGAGGTTAAGTTACCAGAATGATTCATGCGATGGCCCCATGGATTAAAAATAAATCGATGCGAATAATAATCAGAATAATCTTCCAGTCTTTTCCCTTTTCGATCAGATTTAGGGGAATTGCTCATGGAATTAAATACTTAAAAAATAATAATCGCTGATTTTATTTAATTATCTTTTTTTTAATTATTATTTTAATTATCATTCATTCATATTTGATCCCCCCCTCCTCTCTCTCTCTCTCTCCCATCCGCGCCGTTATTCCCTTTCCAGGGCCTCGTCTCTCTTTCCTCTCGTTCTCGCTCTTTACTCATCTGCTCATCTGCTAAGTTTATCTACTTCGAAGATTCATTTGAGCCCCCCTCCTCCCCCTCCTCCTCCCTTCCCATCCTTCTTCCTCTTCCTCCCTTCCTCCTCCTGTTATTTTCCTTTCCCACTTGGTCCCCACATGGTCGCGCGTCCTTATATGGGAGTATTATGCTCTGGATTCGCCTAAACATCCCGGTTGTTGCTATTCATCCGGCCTGACCAGGTCCATCCCGGATTCCCCTCCAGTCCAACTTCTCTTGCGCGTCGCACGCGCTGATTTAACTACTCTTCTTTCCCTTTCCCCCTCTTCCCCTCTCCTCCAACTCCGATTTTCTTATCTCCCGTCGCCTTGCTCCGCGACCCGCTTCCCCCGCAACCTGATCTCGTTCCTTTTGCGGAGGATCTTCCACTATCATCCTTCCTCGCAGTCATGGCTCCTGGAAATGGCCGCGATTTCAACTGCTCTTGGACGGATTGTGGCAAGGTATGTCTTTTGATTTTAGAGCGATTCTCTTTCTCCCCGCCTAAATCGCCATCTCCTGCTTTCCCTTCGCCCAAACTCGATACTCATATTCGCCCTCTAGTCATTTAATCGCAAGTCCGACCTCTGTCGCCATTATCGGATACACACCAATGAGCGACCCTACCATTGCACAGTGAAGGATTGCAACAAGAGCTTCATCCAGCGCAGCGCTTTGACCGTCCACTCCCGGACCCACACCGGCGAGAAGCCCCATGTGTGCGACCATGAAGGCTGCCAGAAAGCTTTCTCAGATGTGAGCCGATCTCAACTCGAGCCTCGATATAGCGCATTATCCACTAACGGGCAACTTTTTTTTTCTTTACAGTCATCGAGTCTCGCCCGTCATCGACGAATTCATACGGGCAAGCGACCATACATTTGTCAAGAACCCACTTGCGAACGAAGGTAAAGACCCGTCTAGGAACTCCCCATCATATCCCAAAGGTGTCGCCTACTCACATATTCTCTCGTTCTTATTCTAGCTTCTGTCGCAAAACCACTCTCACGAAACACCAACACCGATCGCATCCTCCTGGTTCCCTCACTCGCCCATCCTCGGAAGATGCGACCTCGGAGCACTCCTATCACCACCAGACGCCCGTGACGGTATCGATCCCAAACGGGAATGATCAGTACCTCCTTGCGCAACAACCATACTACTCGCATTCCGCAACGCCCAACCACGAGTTTTACTCGCCACCGAGCGTCCAGATGAACTCGGTCCCCGTGCATGAAGGCGCGCCTCCGATTGTCACGCAAAACGTGCCCGTTACCTCGGCCATGCCTATGCCGCATGCCCCACAACATGCACCGCCCCATCACCCACAACAGCAGCAGCATCAGCAACAGCAACAACAGCAACAACAACAATATATGCAGATGATGCAGCAGCGCTACGAGACGACTCCGCGGGCTAACTATATGCCTCACGAGTACCACCAACCACCATTCCCAGGCCACCAGATACCAGAGGGACAACCGATGATGGTGGGATACCATCCTAATTTCCAGTATAAACCCCCAACCCGGATCTTGAACCAACCGGAGGGCACTGACTGGGGTTTTTTGGGAGTAGGTTAAAAGGGGACTACGCTTAGATGCTACGGGTCCCAAATTCTGGGCCCGTCTGATGAATGCCCGTCACGACTCTCCTGTTTTATCTTTGCTCTCTCTCTCTCTTCTCGATTCCCCCTACCGTCAGTTTTTGAGAGAAGCTTCTGGGATTCTATAGTCCGTTTGTATTGGTTATAATTATCTATCTCTATCTCATTATGTTTCCATCCCTTGGCTGTCGGGCGCTTCTGCTGGATTCCCCCTTGATCATTATTCGTTTGTGGTATGGGATCTTCTTCCTCTTCATCATCAGCCTCATTTCCGATCTCTCATGTCTCATTTAAGAGGAGAGGACAGGCGTTCATCATTGATTCCAATCCTTATTATACTTTCCTTTCTCTCCGCTTCTTTTCCTTGGATTCTATATTCCAAATGCTGCGCTGATTTCTACTCCTTGATACCTGGCATGAGACGTTTTATGCGCCTTTTTTTATCCCCTGAGGAGACGCTTTCCTTGTTCTCCCCCGAGTTCCTTGATGTTAATGAGGAATGAAGAAGTCTCCTTTTTACCCACGAGAGTCCCCTCTTGTTTCCTTTTTCTCACATGGGAATGCAACATTGGCAAAAACCCTATTCAAACTCTTAATCAGTCCCGTGCCTGATCGTATACGAAAGCCAAAGCCACCGCTCTTTTTCCTTCGTAGACGGCCTTACAGAACTTAGCGCTCATTTCATCATCTTACGCCGCATGATAAGAGCCAAAAAGCCGAGCCCAAATCCTCCGCGACCGCTCCACTCTAGTGGGCCCTCCCTCCGTCGAGCTAACTGAGCTCCTCTTACTGGATCCGGACTGTCCTTGGGATGAGAGAGAAGCATGATTGGACGCCACACTTTCCAATGGATCCCTTTCTCGAACGAAGTCCATAAGCGCACTAGCCTGCCAACGGTAGATACAACAATGTGGTCAGAATGAAATGACGATTAGCAAGCACTAATAGTAATCTCCGTCGAGCTGAAAAAAGAACAACTCGGCGTAGCATAGTTAACAGAACATAAAAAAACGTAGCCGAGGTGTATCCAAAAGAAGATAATAATCCCCCCTTGAATGGCAATTAAAACCAGCCCCCATAAACAAGGGAAGAGCCCCAGTCTCCAGACGGGTATTCGCGCCTCAGCTTGGTGATCCAAAGAATGCATGGCGTGCATGACTCGTGGCTGGCCCCCATTTTGGACTAAGTACTACTAAGAGGACTCCGTACTAACTGTCTGTAAGCAAGTCAAAAAAAGACCTCGGAAAACGCCACGCTGCCAAGCACAACCCCCCCAGAAAGGGTTTCCCAAGGACTCTTCCCCCCCACCATAATCCAATAATCTCTCTCCAGTGTTAACATGAAGAGAGGGGCTGACTGAGACTCTTCCCGCCGAGCTACTACTACTACTACTACTACCTAGTACCGACTGTCGCTGGCTCACTAATGGGCAACTGGCTGGCTCAACGCCGATTCAAACCTAACAGCCCGGATTGCGGCTTTTTCATTCGCGCGCGCTCGTAATCGCTTACGCCTTCTGGCTGGCTGGGTTGGTGTCTTGGGACGGGGGTGAAATGCGTGAGAAAATGTGTCATGTCATATGGAATATGTTTGACTTTGTGGATTTTGAAGTCTTACTCTCATAGTACTACAAACAAGTACTGTAGGAGTGCCATGCCGCTACTACAACTACTGCGTCTACTAACAGCGCCCCTTGCGTTCCGACTCGCCGATACTGTACTTAAAATCGAAGGCGCTGGGTCTAGGGTGAGAAAATTATCTTTGCTGGCCAGCCCTTGCCCTCGTCGAATATCGATTTTGCCATTCGCAAGGAGAATGTCGCAGTTCCTCCCCTCCGGAGATCCGCACAACATACCACAAATCTCTTTCCAACCCGATTATATCAACCGATCCGATAATAACAGACCAGAGCAGACAGTGTGTTCGGGTAATTCTAAAAAGAATAGGGCGAACAAAAAAGAGTGAAGAATGCTAAAAAAAAATGGTCGCTAAACTCGACGCCCTGACTGGATCGCCACTCATGGAAACTTCCGATCGACACTACTGTATAGTGTATAGCGGTAGTTCATCGTCCATCTGCCATGTGAAGTACATCACCGCCAAAAGGAAAAAAATTCCTTCTCGACGTTTCTCGCTCCGATGAATGTGGGACCCTGTACCTGTACCTGTACCTCGCGTGGCGAACTTGTAAGCCCATGCGATAATAGGCAATGATGATATGCTAGGTATTTCGTTCCGCCAATAACCGAGTTGTGCCATTTAACAATACTTCAATACTACGACGGGAGTATAGACTCCCTTGTCAGGGACACAGGTGACACTGCCGTGAGACACGGTCTGCGCCTTCCGTATAGTATTGGATAGGCGCGGGATGTCTGTTCCAAGACTGTGGGTGTGCTTAGATTGTAAGTTTGTATAGAGTTAGCATGAGCAGCCCGAGTCAGACATGGCGCGACTACGAAGGTATATTTAGAGAGATAACCCCAGAATGTGTAGAGTAGGCCACAAAATAGCTAGCTAGCTATCTACAAAAGCTAGATCACCACCGACTAACGAAGGAGGGGGGAAAAGAGGGGAACTGACTCGGCGAAGGTTAAAAAACCACCACAACTTACAAGTCCACACCAGAGAGTAATCTAAACTCGAAAAGTAAGCTAACTAAGCTGGAGGGCGTTTTAGTGGGTTTGGGGGCTTTTAGAGGGGCAGTCATTGGATATGACCAAAATCTGCAGGTCCGCCACGTCGATTGCGGTGTTATTCGACGAGGGGCCCGGATCAGAACCGGTTTCTGTGGCGCGTAGTAATAAGGATCCATTCAATGCGGCGGTGGGAGAACGGTCTCCGGTGTTTGAGATGGATAAATTAAAAATTGACTGCTTATGAGAAGCGAAAGATAGAGAGAGTATGGAGTAGGGTAACAGAGCCAAGACACGAAATCCGGGAAATGGGGTGCAGGAATAACAGGAATCCATGTCGCAAGGTTATGCAGACATTGTTGATAGTGCTTATTCTTAGTATTTCTTGGACGGGAGGGATTCAAATGGGTTACGGCCTTATCGGGGGTCTTACTTTTGAGTTTTTACGGGAATCTCCCGTTTGTTCTCCAGTTGACTTTTTGAGTTGGTCACTGGGACAGGAATAGGGTTTGTTTTCCGGCCCAATGCGAACATGTACATGTCGTGTCAGGTGTTAGGGATAGGGGAAATGGCTGTCAGATTAATATGGATTACTAAATGCTTAGAATACAGGGCTGTATACCCGCTCTTAGCTCCGTTTCTCATCTCTAGCTCGTATAGTCTTACTATAATATTGTCGAGCCGACAAGCCGAGAGATGGCTATATTTTTCACATTACTTTGCGGAGTTCACCGGCCACTAAACCAAACTAATCTATCGGGATTCAAGTGGACAATAATTGCGGTATAATGACTCTATCAATGTATTCTCCCATCGGAAAATGGACGGCCTGAACCGAAGTGGGTCGCGATCAACTAATAAGGGGAAAAAAACCAACAATCATAATTGCCAACCCCCAAGCTTACTGGATGATAGCATAACGGGCAATTAGCGCGAGCTATATGATGCGATTGGATATACACATTCGCTTCGGATGACACGGCTCGATAGTGTGGACTGGACTGGTCTGTAGGCCCTGTCAACGGGAGGCAGAGACGCCCGACAAGGGTTTTCTTGGTGGATTGCCTCCAGTTGGTGATTAGCTCCGACAGGGCTAAAAGGCCAAGAAGGGGAGGAGGGAGGGCAAGGGGGTACGTACGTCAGTGGACGCATAGAATTACGCCCTCGTGATCGGGGACTTTTTTCTGAAATAGGAGTTTGCGGTGTTCGTGTTGGCGAAGGTGAGATGATGGATGACAAGGGTGTCGTGATAACTGATAACTAATCTACCATACATCTCTTGATCTACATACCTCCGTACATGTTGTTATGAGGCTGAAGGGGATTTCCCCACACTCGCGTTTAGACAGGAGGTCTGAGCTGGTCGCCGCGCCCCATCGGTCATCGGTGCTCGGGCGCCTTGCGATCGTGGACGATCGCGGTCTGTGGTTTATCAACATTGTTGGTTTAACGTTCCTGACTGTGTTCCTGTGTCCACCGAGTATTGATAGAAAACCCGTAGCCGCCAAGCTGAACGGGTGATCAAGAGGGGGAACGAGATTTACCCTTTATTGGAGGTGCCAATAAGATCATTGTATCATGTCCACATGGTAAGCCCCCCTACTTGAAGGGGCTACAGATCGATGGATCTGGGATGCCTGAAATGTGACGCGTGCCAAGACGACGTAGTCGATGGCGGCGATCTCTGGGGAAGCGAACAAGCGAACATGCGACCGAGTTCTGCGACAAGTTTCCCGTATACACACTTTCATGATGATTGGGATGCTCTCCCCGCACTATTTCTGGTAAAACGCTTACCACGGTACCACGCTGGACGGGATATGGTCGGATTGGGCTGCGAAGTGCCTATAATAGGAAATCTACTATATTTGACTCTATTCCCGTATAACCATCGTGCATCTAGACACAGTGATGATTCAAGGTTGTGCGGGGTTTATCAAATTCAAACCGAGGAGGGATCCAAATTAAAGTGCTTTACATTAGGATAACCAATGTCTAGCCCTGCGATCATCAATGCATGCCATTACCACCAGCCAGGGATTGTAATTGCACATGCGGATGGCCGAATAGGCGAGACCAGAATCTTCCAGCCGGGCTAGCCCAGCTCTAACAATTTTCTTGTGCTGCCAGGCTAAGTGGATATCAGGATCATAAGTGGACCTGCACCGCAGAATATAGGCGGTTTCAAGTCTCTTCCACTACCGTATCAATCAGTAGTATGCAGTACCTGGTGCATAGTATAGCCTCACTGCGAGCATAGAGTACTCCTGCATGTCTAGCCAGACTCCCCTTTCCCTGAATACTCTGGTTATTTAGCTGCTCGCTACATACAGTAGCTCAT